CTTGCTTGTTCAACCGACCGACCATCATTAAAGGTGCCGGGGGGGCAGCCTATGAATCTCGACTCGAAGCTCGGCATGGGGATCTGAATGGGGACTTCGGCAACGGCCTCGGGTGCCACCGCCTTCAGATCGCTGAAGCTGGTGGTCCCTGGGAACTGCTGGAGCATGATAAAGGCTCCGTTCAGTCGGCTATCCTTGTCGAACCGCAGGTTGGCGTCCCAGAAGGTGTCGAAGCTGTTACGCCAGAGCTCCAGCTTGATGGCCGCCCGGTTCGTGTCCATGTCGGGACTCCACTCGGTCAGAAACGAAATGCAAATCGCCAGCAGATGCACTGATGAATGAAGGTGCAAACACGCACAAATAAACATGTCATCCCTTCGCCCGCTGCCCGCTGGGGATGGATGGATGGATGGATGGATGGATGGGTGGCTTGCCTACCTGCGTGCATGTGCTGATTGACAAATCTTTCGTAGTCCGTGGTGCGGTTGGGCCAGGCGTTGTAATCGGCGATCAGGTCGCTGCTCCAAACGTCGAGGAAGGCGTCGTAATAGTTGACCTTGGACGTCCACTCGGCATTTGTCAGGAAGAAATCCGTCAGATTGTGGGCGCCATACTGATAGTAGGTGCCGCTTGTCGCGACTTGAGGGTCACGGAACCTACGCCAAGCAACAAACACACCAACCAACAACAGCAGCAGCCGATGTATGCAGCTGTGTGTCCAGCAACAGAGTTCTTTAAGTAACGCTTTCATTTGATTCAGTAAGTGGTCGTACGTACCAGCCCTGACCACACACACACACGCACAGAGAAAGTGAAAGGGGTTGTGTCGTCGTGTGCAGATGGAGAGAAACTACTGACTGAAACATCACACGTCACACAAATCCCCCCCTCCCTTCTCCTGGCCTGACTCGCTATCTGACTGACTGACTGACTGATTTATTGATCGACTGACCTTCAGGTCGACGCCCTTGTCGATGAGAATCTGGTTGAATTCATCGTAGACGTCCATATTCATCTTATTATAATTGTCAGGCCCCAAGGTCAATGAATCAGCAAAACCATAATGGATGAGAACCTCGGTGCCGGTCTCTTTGAGGGCCTGGGCAAAGTCCTCTCCAAGATGATTGTTCCCAAGCAATTTGGGCCCGTAGGTCTTGTTTGTTCCCGGGTTGAGCGGATCTTCATACTCGAATGTCCAGTTGCCGTATGTATCGATTACCGCCTGATCGGCTGCATAGCCCAGTGCTATAAGGGGGCGATGGACCTCCGATAAGTCACCGGGTAAATGGGGAACGTCCATAAGCAGCGTGAGCGTCATGTTCAGACTCCGGATGCCGTCTATCGCCAGATCAGCGTACGGACGACGGTGGTGATTGTGTGAGCTTATCACTGCACACTTGGTGTAGCCGCGTGTCTTGAAGGGCGAGAGGATGCTCTGAGCGACTCCAAGAGAAAGGGCATATTTGTCAAACACGAATGAATCCGCTGAGACGGCGTCGGTCGACCAACCCGCGACGTGCAGGAGGTTCTTGTGCTGCGCAAGAGGGAGTATAACATCCTCTGTGAGTCCATAGCTTATCAGCGCGACGTAGGTGTCGTTGGTCAGGGCATCCATCTGCTCCGCGGTCCAGCCAGAGAGATCATATTCAATGACGTCTCGTTCGAGGCGAATCGTCGTGTTCCCCGCCGTGAGCCGTTTGCCATTCCAGTGGCCGCTGTTGAGGCGCTCAAGATAGTAGTCGAAGGGTGGGACGATGACCGTCGCGGGCCATGGAGCCCAGAATGCGTAGACGAGAATCGCATACTTGACCGTCACCTCCGCTGGCTGGCCGCGAATTGCAGGCGGCTGCGCGACGAGAAACAAAGAGAGCAGCAGCAGTGGGAGCATGGCTGGAGGGCGAGCGGACGCAAAGAGCGCAGGGGGGACTAGGGGGGGCTTCCCTCGAGCAACAGCGGTTTCAGGGAGCACCCTAGGCGGCCTGACGGTCCAAGCCTGTCTTGTCCCGCAGAAACACGCACCCGACATGCAACACGGACACGCACACGCAGCACGCGGAGGGCAGAGGCAGCGAAAAGGGCTCTGAAAATTGCGAGCTTGACTTGGCTTGGCACAGCAGTAGGGGGGAGCTGAAAGCCGATTTGACTTGCTGCAGCGGCCTCATTGAGGGCTCCTCCTCACCCTCTCAATTGTGTGAAGATGGTGTTGGTTTCATTTTTCCGGTGGCTGGCGCTGGGCGTGGCGTTGGCGGGAGTGGCGGCCAGGGGGGAGGAATGGAGCCTCTGCCCAGGCACCACCACAGAGCGATTCGAGGTCAGGCCGACCAGCACGAGTACGTTGGCAATGGTCTGTTGCTGGCATTATTGTTTGTCCTGCTGGTGGGTGTGATCTGCTGCAGATCGGTGAATGCCATATCGTTCCTGATCCGCCGGTGGCGGGAGAGGTGGGGTGGGCAGCTAGTTCGGGGGTTAGTTTGGGGGAGAGCACCACCGATTGTCAGTCACAAATCGGTGAATGTGATGTGATGAACGCAATGCAGGCGCTGACGGTGTCTGTGACGGGTGACCTGAAGGAGGAGATCAGCGGCGGGTACATCGAGATCGACCTCAAGATCGACCGCATCATCCCCATCCACATCAAGGAGGCCATCTGCGACATCGGCGACATCCAGTGCCCCATCGCACCGGGGCACTACAAACGATCCATCACACGTACAAACACACATAGCTGACGACCATGCATCCATCGCCTACGTCTACACGCTGGTGTGATATGTGTCAGGTGAGGTCCCGCCAAGGCCAAAGCACGGCAAAGTGGAGGGCGACGTCAAGGTGGGTCGGTAGCCTGCAGATGGATGGATGCCACCCAACCAACAGCGGGGAACGGGACTGATGGCATGCATGCCTGTTGCTGTGGTGTGGTGGGCCGTTCTGTCAGGTGTATGATCAGAACAACGCCGAAGTGACTTGTGTCCATCTCAGCTTTGAAATCGTCAGGTGTGCGGGTGTCAGCCAGCGCATGTGCGTGGAGCTAGCTGACTGTTGTGTGATTGTGTGTTGATTGATCCGATTTGCAGTCCGGATGAGCTGGAAGATGGTGTGCTCAAGAACAACACCACTGCAATGGACAGCCTCCCGCAAGAAAGGGTGAGCATCCTATCAGCCTCGTAGGTTGCTGAATGTATGAGCCTCGTGTGTGGGGTTGTGGTATGGGTGTATGTGTGGTTGCAGGCAGCTGCAATTTTGACCCAGAGGTTGCGGCACAAGGAGGAAGTGATTATCAGCTGACGCGGCCATGCCATTATCCATCATATCTGCCTCCCTGCCTCTCTGCCTGCCTGCCTGCCTGCCTGACCGACTCCCTGACTATCATCTAGCAGCCCATCTGTGAGCATCATGTGTATCATCTACTCATCTACTCTCCCTGTCTGACTGAGATCTACCTAGATCTCCACCTGTTGCCATCAACTATCATCTGCAGACCAGCGCTCTCTCTCTCTCTCTCTCTCTCCCCAGACAGAGACTGACTTTATTTGTTGATTGGTTGATTGGCCGAGAGAGTCTCTCTCAAGTTTTAAGCCTACACGTCATACCATATGACCACACCATACCATGCCATGCCATATCCCATGCATGGGCGCGGTGCGGTGCAAGCCTGCCTACGTGTGTGTCCATGTGAATCTATCTATCTGTCTGTCCATGGAATCGGTGCCACCCGTGGCTGGCGCCATTCGCCGGCACAGCACAGTCTAGTGGGGTGGGGCGGGTGGTGGATTGAACCACAACACATTTCTGTCGTCTCGATATCGATATTATGAACCTGTTTCCAGATCGGTGGGTCAGCCGACATGTGATGGCTGCATTGGTCAGAGGAATGGATGGATGGATGGTATGCTGCCTCGACTGCCTGTCTGCCTGTGGTTCTCTTTTTTTCGTGCATGTGGTGGTAGTGGGGAAGGCCGCTCGCGACGATTGCTGCTAGCTGCACACGTACACACAGTGCCACACACACACACACACACGACATACACACACCTACATGCCCACGCACAAACACAGAGACAGACGGGGACACACACATATCCACACAGCCACAATGACCACACATCAATGGACTCGCTCACTTCGCTCGTCTCTCTCACACAAGAGGCGAGCCGCAGACAAGGGTACACACCGATCGGCCGGCGCTGCTGTAGATAGACGTAGGTATCCGTATCATTGCTGCCCTCCCCAGCCCAGCCCGCCCATCGTGTTGGCTCGTTTGTGTCGGGGTGCGTGTGTGTATGGATGGCCGGCCAACAGGCACTCCGTAGCCTTCGCGCAAAGAAGCAGCCTCCCTGCATGTCATGTGGTCGATGTGTGTGTGCCGGCGCCTGTGTGCCATGCGGTGCATGGCATGGCCTCGATGAAGCCACTCAGTTCACTCACTGGTTGGTCGCATTTATCATGGGGGCGGGGCGTGGCGTACTTACCTTACTTGACAAGTGTGTATGTGTCTGTCTGTCATGTGTGCCAGAGAGAGGAGACGGATGGACCTACCCTACAGACAGACAGACAGCGCTGGGATGGATTAGGTGCGCCACATTCGTCATTCGTCATTCATTAGTCTGGCCGCGGTTGCAGTCGCAGGGAAATCAATCACGCACACCCGCCGAACCATACCATCGACAGCATCCACACGCCCCGCCCCAGCTGTCCTCTTATCCTTTCTCCCTCCCCCGCCTCTCACTGACATCCAGTCAGCCAGCAAAAATACTTTGAAAGAGGAGAGCTCAATGACCAATGCAGTCTGCAAAGTGTCTCGTCTCCCCCCTCAGTAATCAAATCAGTCACAACCCCCGCCCTCCCCACGAGGCGAGTACTGAGATGCGTATGGGTCCCGCGATTGCAGCATATTAGCAGCAGGCCGGTGGTGCTGGTGGTGCTGGTGGTGGTGGTGCCGCCCCATCATGGCGGTGTGTCCATCGTCATGAGGGTGGTGGGAGTAGTGGGCGGCCTCCCACGTGTCAACGCTGCGGCCGCGGCGGTCCTCACGCTCACCACGGTCGGCGTGCACCGCCATTACTGGGGGCGCCAGGGCGTCCATCGACGTGTGGCTGAAAGGAACAAAGGAAACAAGGAAAAGGGCGCGGCGCACAATGGCCACCATGCTTGCACAGATGGGCGATGGGTGTGGTGTCTTGCTTTTCCCCCTGCCTGCACGTACATGCGCCTGGACGCGTTGAGTGCGTTCATATCAGGGCTTTTGAAGGGGTGGTTCACCGACATGTCCAACGCGCCATGCTCCCTGCCACTACCGCTGCTGCTGCCGCTGCTGCCCCCACCACCACCAGCGGCAGTGGCGGGGAAGAACGCGCTGTGGTTCCTTTCCATTGTGTGTGAGAGGGAGAGGTCCTGCTGGCTGCGGACAGACCTGTCCAGCATCATGCCGCCCCGAGACACAAAGCCGCCATAAGAGGGCGTCACCTCCTGGTCCATAGCTGAGGAGAGAAGCAGAGCAGAGAGTGGGAAAGAGAATGTGTGTGCGGGATCGGCGTAGGGAGAGGGATGGCCATGCGTGGTGTCTCACTCACCGCGGACGGAGCGGATTGATTTCTCCAGGTGGTCGAGCTGTTCCTTCCCCTGCACCCAGAAGCGGGGCGTCCGGAAATCCGAATACTCCCCATCAGGCGAGCCCGACCCCTGCCCCAGCCCAGCACCCTCCATCCGCTCCATCCGCTCCATGCGTCTGCTCAGATCCAAAGCACTGCCCGCCCGCATGCTCACACCAATCCACCCACCACCAGCCCCAGGACCAGCACCAGCAGCAGCACCAGCAGCCCGCCCCTCGTGCAGCGGCAGGACACTCTGCGACCGCAAATAGAAGCTCCTGCCGACGGGGCCCGCCCTCGCCCTCCCAGCCGCACTGGGAACGAAGTCCTCTCTCTCCTCTCCCTGGTCCCGGTGATGCATGTCATCCTGCTGCTGATGCTGCTGGTGGTAGTGGTGGTGGTCATGGAAAGGAGCAGGCCTTGAGAGGGGCGGCCTGGGTGGCAGCGATCCAGTGGATGAGGTGGGGTGCGGCCGCACCGATGGGTGGGTCGGCGAGAGGGGCGGGCGGGAGTGTGTCATGGTCATGCTCATGCTCATAGGAGGGGTGTGCTGTGGAGGGGGCGATGGGGGCGGGGCGGGGGGGCGCGAGACGATCGTGGAGTGGTCCAGGGGCTGTGTCTCGGTGGATAGCGATTGCTGGGTCTGTAGAAGACTGCTCGACTTGCGGTGCTCGCGTCTCGCAAGCTTCTCCTGGCAGCCACACAGATGCAGAAAAGAGAAAGTGGCGCGGTAAGAATGGACAGCAGCTGGCTGGCTGTGGTGTCTCGCGTCTCTTGACCGCTCGTCACTCACCTGCGCGTCTTGGAGTGCCTTCCAGTGCTCTTTGGCCTTTTCCTCCGCCTTGGCCGCCCTCTTCCTGATGATGTCGTGCTCAACCTTGAGGCCCTCTATCTGACGCTCATAAGACCTGATAGACACCTCGTGTCTGCACACACCAAACGCACACACACACATGTGTATGTGTGTGTGTATGTGCAGTAAGTAATGGCTTATGCATTCACACAACACACAGGCGGACGGATGATTGATGCCCACATTACCTACCTGGCAGTGAGGTCAGCCGTGTGTCTGCTGAACTCCCGCTTCATCTCGGTGATCTCATTCTCCAGCTGAGCCACCTTGACGTCGTTGAAAAACTGAATCGTCTTGATACGCACACTTGGACGCACCTGAGGCTCGCCCTCGGCCTTATCCGCCACCCCCGCCCCAACCGGCGCCACCACCGGCATGGCCACCGCCGGCCCCTCCTCGCTGATGGCCGGCAGCGCTGCCCCGTTGGCCTTGCCATTGGGCATTGGGGAGTCGTCTTGGCGGACAATGAGGTGGCGGGGGAGGAAGCCGCCCTGCTGTGGTGCGCCGGGGGGAGGGGCAAGGGAGGCTGTGGGTGGTGGTGGGGGCTGGAATGGCTGCTGCTGGTGAGGGTATGCCGTTGCTGCGGCTGTTTCTTCCTTGAGTGCTTCGAGTGCGAGCTGTGCAGCCTCTTTCTGGTCCTGCAGTTCCTCATTTTTCTTGCGCTCCTCCTCGAGCTGCTCCAGCAGCTGCGCCTCACGCGCACGCCAACGGGTGTCACGCTCCGACTCTAGACCCTGCACACACAACACAACACAACACAACACAGCGGTATGAGACAAAACATCTGAGGGAGGAGAGGGTCATCATTTACCTTGAGTTTGGCGTCCGCTTCCTGAAGCTGCTGTCTGAGCTTCTCCACCTCCTCCTCGTTGCCAGACACACCACCAGCACCCCCACTGGCCTTGCCGCCGTCGGCTGGGGGAGGCGGCCCACCGCCGCCCTCCACCATTGTTCTGACCTCCTGTGTGGTATTGGCTGGCAGCATGGCGGGTTTGATGGCCTTGTCGTACATGAGAGCGTAGGGCGCCTCGCCGAACTTGGCCAGCCGCTTTCGGAGAGAGATGACCTCTGTACGCAGCTGCCGACGCCGCTCAACCTGGACATAGATAGCGGAAACAAAGGTGCCAGGCGGAGGGAGGGAGGGAGGGGCTGCCTTTCGGTCCGTCTGACAGACGTACCTCCACTTTTCGTTCTTGCCTTTCGTTGGCGAGGTGGCGGAGGGCCCCCTCGTGTCTGCGGACAGACTCCTCCTGCTCCTTCTCCAAAGCACGCGACAACCGCTGCTCCTGATAGATCAAAGCAAACAACCAGATGTCGATGCCCTTGAAGGGTGCATCAGGGCCATGCCATGCCATGCCATGGCTTCCTTCTCACCCTACCCCACCCATACACATCCACCCACCCTGTAGAGTGCCTCAGCGGCGGCCTGTTCCTGTTTGCGCTTGGCCTCCCCGACCTTATCGAGCAGTGCCTGGATGAGCGGCGGTGGAGCGCCGGTGCGATCGTTGAGAAAGGCGTGTAGGGCCTCGCTCCTCATGACAGGGTCCACGAGGTATCCGAGGTAGTCCTGCACCTCCTCATCCGCAAACAGGGCCAGAAACTCCTCAGCGCTTCCCAGCCCCCTGGCACCGTCCCCCACATCAGCGCATATGGGGTACCTGGATGAACCATGGACACAACAGAGAGGAAATGCCTATCGTGTGGTGGATGCATCCACCCACCCAGTGGCACCCTACCCACCATTCGGATGACGGCGAAGGGAGTCTTTCCAGCGACTCCGGGGCGGGCTGGTGGAACTGCATGAGTGTGAGGTGCTGGAGGGCCGTGAAGACGTACTGCAGGGGCGACAGATACTCGAACACCTGATGCTTTGGCTGCTCGGAGGGCTGCTCGTCGTCGGCCGGCATGGTCTCCTCCTCCTGCCCTGGACCAGAGGCTGTCGTGTCGTCGTTCATCACTTCTACACACCAATTACATTACGCTACGGACCGGCAAAAATCCCTCCCTTAACATCTGCAGAAGAGCTGAGGCCCACCCAAAACGGGTCCGGATCGCCCGTTGCGAGCCGAGATGGGGGGAAAAAGTAACTTTGCCTCCACTGCCAGCTGAGTCTGATTCACACGTCCAGTCATGTCAGCGTCTGCAGGGCGGGGCTCATCGCCGACGGCTGGCGCGGACAGCCTGACGCCGGGGGAGAGGATGCAAAAGAAGATGAACGACAAGATGAAGCAACTGGGCCGCAGCGCATTTCGGCGGACTCTCAAGAACATCCAGGAGTGCATCCGCATCTGCACCAACTGCAGGGAGGTCGCCGAGCGGACCGGCAAGATGGTCCAGCGCTGTGTCGCCCGGTGCGACGCTCGCATGCGCAAGTTCTTCGGCAAGGCGTACAAGTACCTGACGATCATGAACAGCATCCGGCTGCTGACCTTCATCAACTGCTTCTTCATCCTGCTGCTCAGCCTCTATTTCCCGTGGAGACGGGTGGGTGAGCAGAGCAGAGAGAGGGAAATGATCACATGCATGCCATCTATCGCTTCGGTTCGGTTCGGTTAATTGGGGGCGGGGCTGTTGTCTTGTCTGTCAGACGAAGGAGTTGAAGGGCAAGATTGGGCTGCGGCAGGCTCAGCTGAATGAGAACACGTCATCGGTCGACTGGGGCCCATTCGTGCAGGGCATTTGCGACAAGATGAACCAGGTAGACAGCTGGGGAGGGAGGGAGGGAGGGAGGGAGCGGGGAGGCACACACACGACATTCATACGCCATTCATTCATTCAGTTCCTTCGTCTGCTGCGTGTAGTTCAATGAGGCGCTGATACAAGAGGAGTAGCGGAGGGCTGAGGAGGCGCTTCTGCAGGGCATCAACGGCAATGGCAATGGCACCGACAGCGACAGCGACACCACCGCTCGACAACTGACGGCCAACCGGGACAGCTATGTCAATCGAGAGGTGGAAATGACAAATGAAGCGACCACTACATGCGCACTGGAGGCTCCTGAAGACTCAACTGAGGACGGCACACGGATACTGCAAGGCAACGCCGCTCATGAGACAGCAGGGCCGGGCAACACTCCAGAGACAACAGTGGCCACCAGCACCAGCACCAGCAGCACCAACAGCAGCAGCAGCTTCGATACGCCCACGGAGACACCAACATCAGCACTGGACCATTCAACGGGGCCGGATTCCCGTGGTTTTGCTCCAGAGATGGCCGGCCAGCTGGTGGCCTTTCAGGCATCTGGCGGCGCAAATGGGACGAACAATGGGACAGACGCGCTGACCACTGCAGAGCCAGATCCAGATGTGACGACTGCGGAGCCAGAGCCGCCTACAGGTCCGATCGGCGAGGGGGTGTACGAGAGGCTGCAGCGGCTGTTTGACGAGTACAAGGTCTACTGCTCACAGTTCAGGAGCCTCTACCTATACACATCAGTGGAGAGCAAGGTGACCAGGCAGGCCGGCATGCTTGCTAGCGGCCCTTGGCGTGCGTGTTAGTGTGTGTGTGTGTGGGTGGGTGGGTGTGTGGTTCAGGCTGTGGGTCTGATTGTGTTAGGTTGTGTGGGTGCGGTAATAGCGTGGTTTGTCTACGAGTATGTCGACGACTTTTGGTTCATCGGCTGCGGGGGCACTCAGGGCAAACACTACACGTCAGCCGTGAGCGACGCACCCAACACTGAGGCAGGCAGGCAGGAAGGCCTCACACAGGGACACACATGCCTTCTGCTCTGTGTCTCGCGTCAGAGTTTGGCGTTGTTGTCATGTGTGTTTGTGGTGGTTGCCACTTTGGCATGGGTCGCCGAGTCGGGCAAGATCCTTCAAGGGTACCCTACGTGTGGTGGGCAGCTTAGCTCACAGTGTGAGCCTCCCCTCTCTCTCCTTCAACCCACCCATGTGTGTCTGTCTGCGCACACATGACATGCATGGCAGCCCTCTGAAGAGCAAGCTCTTCTACGTCTTCGTCGGTGTCATCGCATTCGCCGCCAACCAGATCATACTCGCGCTCTGCTACCTACGGTAGGTATCCACCGACAAACTGTGCTAGAAAACCTGTCTGGTGCACGCAATGATCAGTGAGACGTTTGGTGTCCATGCGCGCGCTGAGTTTCGTTGGGACCCGCCGCCGAAGAAGGTGCGGGAGGCCACACTGAGGGAGAAGGCCAGGAGGCAGAGAGAGGAAATCGAGCGATACGCACAGAGTGAGAGAGTCAGTGACTAAGGCAGTGAGTGACTCACTGAAGGGCAGGTAGGACGGCTCTCTGTCTGGGTGTATGTGTGTGTCTGTGTGTGCGTGTGTGTGTAGGTCACATGGGTGGTCTGAAGTGGCCTCACGAGGTGTTTCCCAATAAGGCGTCAGAGAGTGGCGGGCTGCCCACCGTGTGGCCATAGCCCCTCAGTCTCTCCCCAGACAGCCAGCCAGCCAGCCAGCCAGAAATGACGCACACCGTAGTGGTTTACCATCGCATGTCGGTGTGTCTGTCTGTCTGTCCACTATCGCATTGTCCATCGCAGTGGGCCACGAGAACGCACGATACATAGATAGATAGCTAGCTACATGGGTCCATCCATTCACATGTACACGTGACTGAAATGCAATGCGACCAAAACCAGACAGACTCCTTGCCTGACTATCTACTACACGAGACAAAAAACTCTCACAAACTGCCGACCGACCTGCCTGCCCGCCCGCCTCACTGGGTGTCTTCCCTCCTCGCCCCCTGCCCCTGCCCTTGCCCCTCTCTCTGCATCTCTTTCTCTCTCAGTCGTCTCCTCTGTGCGACGCTCGCAGCAGGGTTGGGCCGCAGCAGCTGTTTCAGCGCATCCCACACCTCAATGTCCCAACTTTCCACATGACGACTGACACGGTTGGTCCCGGCGTCAAAGTAGTAGTCGGTGCCGCCCGCCGCTGCCAGCAGCGGTTGCCACGGCACGCCGATGACGCTGCGGAAGCGCCACTTGGTGCGGATGATGAGGCCGCCGTCTGGCGCTGTGTCTTCCGTCCACTTGGTGAGTGTGAGGTCGCCCTCCGTCATGAAGGGGGCGAGGTTGTCGAGGTTCTTCTTGAAGCGTGAGAGACCTGTGAAGGACACCTGCAGTCAGTGCACGTTGCAGTGACCACAGGCATACAGAGGAGGCAGGGAGGGAGGGAGGGAGGGAGGGAGAGAACGGCACAGCACACCTTGTATCTATCAAGTGCAGAGCGGCCAAATGTATGACGACAGTTGCTCTATCTGATTCGTTCGGTGTCTTGGCTCATTGGCTCACGAAAGGGTCCTCGAAGGTGCAGTCGGGCTCGTAGAGGTCAAGATCCATGTCCCCTGCATCCCGTCCAGGCGATCCATGTCCATGTGTGTCAGTCAGTCAGTTAGTTATGTTTCTCAAGACTCACCATTGACGAAATACATCCGGTCAAGATCACCCCCTGCACACACAACGATCACGCACGCACGGGCGCACCGCACAGCAACACAGCACCCCCGCACTCTGCCCAAAGCTTCCTTCTGTGTGTGTGTGTGTGTGTGTGTGTGTGTCTGCAATGCCTCACTCACGCAATCGCTGCTTGGCGTCATCCAGGTTCAGAGGCTCCCTTTGCCCGACAATTTGAGCATCATTTGCAGGCTGTTTCGGCCGGAAGAGGGCGGTGACCTCGCCGAGCTTCTCTGACGCATACCACGCCAGCTGGATGAACGGGTCTTGACTCGGCGGCTCCGTCGGCCGCCTCCTCCTCCCATCTCTGTCCACTGCAGATTGCTGTGCTGGCGCATCGCTCTCAGCACTCCTCTGCTGCTGAGTGTCTGTTGACGGCCTCATCTGCAGCCAGGGCTTGGCCCGACTTCGTGAAGAGCCGATGACGCGGTGATAGATCACGAAAGCTGAGGATAGTGCTGGGCTGCCAGCGGCAGACAGGGTGAGCGCCGTCCACAGCCACATCATGCGCAGAAGTGTTCGCCAGATCTGCGAGCCAAGCTCGCAGCGATTGCGGCTTTCGCAGATCTCCTTCCACAGCCTTTCTGCTCGTGTCGCCTTGTCCTTGCCCCGTCATGGAGACAGACTCGACGGCAAAGAAGAGGAAGCTGGACGAGGTGGAAGGCGGTTCCTCCTCTGTCATCCAGGTCGGAGGTCTGACAGTGCGTGAGGTGCATCCGCATGGGTTTGGGTGTGAGGTGCTGGACGAGGACCTCGACCTCAAGAACATGTCGGCCCAACAGATGCAGGCATTCAAAGACCTCATGGTGGAACAGGCAGCCAGCAGAATTTAAGACAGTCAGGCCTGTGACTGTGACTGTGTCTGTGTCTGTCTGTGGTGTGGTGTGTGCAGGACAAGTATGATGTCATCGTCGTGCATGGGCAGGTGAGTGCGGAGACGACAGGCGGGGAGATGTAGGTGGTCTCTCTGCATGTGTAATGTGGTTTCTGTCTGTGTGCATGTGTGTGTGTGTGTGTGTGTGCAGGATTTCCCCGAGACAGTGGATCAGGTCAATGTGATCACATCCCTGCAGCCGCACAACAAGGAGCTCATCGCGAAGGGCCATGGCAACAACTTCGATACCACGTGCGCATCGATTCACTCACACAACGATACGCGATTCGTATCTCCCTTGACATGTGTGTGTGTGTGTGTGTGTGGCTTGGTGCAGTGACCACCCGTTGGTCCGAAACTCAGTGTGGCCTTCGGAGAAGTACGTCAAAGTGGTCCACCCAGGGTGAGTGCGCACGGGCCGGGATGCGGCGCCGCTGCTCACCAGACCCCTCCTCTCTGTCTGTGCGCGTGCGTCAGTTATGCCTGGCATGTCGACGGAATCGCCTGGTCCGAGACGCCCATTATATGGTCCTGCCTCCACTGCATCAAGGGTCAGTCAAGTCACTTGGATGGAACACACACACGCGTGTGGCGTCACGTTTGTGTTGTGTGTCCGTGAGTGATTCATTCATTCAGCCCCCAAGAAGGGCGGCGAGACGTTGTTCGCCTCGTCGGTGGTGTGCTACGACCTGCTCGACGAGGCTGTCAAGGCCAAAATCGACAGGCTGACGGCCGAATACTATGTATATATGCGGCCACCCGACTCACCTCACTCCACACACATGCCTCACAATACGCGCCATGTGTGTGTGTGTGTGTGTGCGTGTGTGTGTGCAGGACGACTATCAGGTGCACGGGTGGAAGCTCGACTGGTTCGGCACACACCGCACCGACGACGTCGAGGAGACCAGACAGCTGCACGCCGCAGAGGGCACCGAACGATCCAAGAGACACGTCACGCATCCAGTGAGTGGGAGAGGGGAGAGGGACAGGGAAAGGGGATGGATGGATGGGTGTGTGTGTTGTGTGTTGTGTGGTGTGTTTTGTGCACACAGCTGGTGCACGTGTCGAAGGACGGCAAGAAGAGCATCTACACGGGCAACCACACGCTGTATCGCTTCATCGGGCCTGACGGGCCCATGACGCCGGCAGAGACACACAAGCTGACGGGCGAGATACTCACACCAGGTGGGTGCTGCTGCTGCTGCTGCTGCTAGTGGAGTGGAGTGGAGCCAGGGGTTTCTCCACCCTATGTGTGTGTGTGTGTGTGTGTGTCAGGTGTGCAGCCTGAGCACGTCTTTGTGATGCGCTGGAAGCCCAACGACGTGGCCTTCTTCAACAACCGCAGGATGCTCCACTCGCCAACCATCATCGAACGATTCAAAAACGAGGTCACCCAGCCCCACCATACACCCCCCACACAACACAACACAACACCACGAGCGTATCCCCGTGTGTGTGTGTGTGTGTGCGTGTGTGTGCGTGTGTGTGTGTGTGTGTGCAGGAGCGCCACATCAAGCAGTGTTTCCTGCCGGCCATCGAGAAGGTCAAAAGCGTCGACGAGGCCGAGAGGGAGGGCCTCATCAAACCCGCAACCACCAGCGGCGCACAGAAGACCAGTGACGCGTCAACCGTCGCTGCCAGCGGCTGACCAACGCTGCCCCGGCCACGAGCTGGGCGAGTGATTGTGGGGTGTGTGGTGGGTAGGTGGCTGCCGAGAGGATAGCAGACGAGTGGCTAGCTGCGTAGTCGCCGGAGAGAGAGAGAGGGAGAGAGAGGGAAAGAAAGAGAGGGGGTAGGCAGACAGACAGACAGACAGCGAGGCGGTCAGCATGAGCCGCACACTGATGCAGCGAGAGACACAAAGGTCGTCTGTACCTTATGTATGAGCGCACTGTTGTTGAGTTGATTGACGCCGCTTCTCGGCCTGGCTCGGGCGCTGGACATTGACGCACCTGCCACACAGGCCGCCTCGCTGACATACCCGCTCAGCCGTCCCAGGCTTGAGCATGTCAGTTTGGGGCCTTGTGTGAAGGTGCGTCATAGGATGGCCGCCGAGACAGGCTCGACGAGGCAGCGCTTGCATGCCTCGTTGTGCGAGCTTTTATTGGTTGATGGGTTCTGAATACGCGAGTGAGTGAGTGAGTGCAGCTCTTGTTGTTGTGTTGAAAGGAGGAAGGTCGGTCCGTGAGGTTGGGTGCGATCTTGGGCGGCAACGCCAGTCCGCAGGGCTTCTCAATGGCCCTGGGAGGCTGACGTTCGCCGCCTGGCATCAGCCCGAGTATCCATCACTGGGCCGGTCCATCCACTGGCACGGGGTGTGCATCTGTGAGTGAGAGAGCATTTGTGTGTCTGTCGTGGTATGGTGGGTATGTAATTGAGCAAGCGAGCGGGGAAGTTTGCTCAAGCCAGCGAGAGCAGCTGTCATGTCATGTCATGTCCTGTCATGTCATGTGATTGATGTGTATACTACGTCTGTCGCACCTGCCTCACTCATCTCACGGATGCCTGGATGCCATTGGATGGATGGATGGGTCGTTGGTTCGTTCGTGAGGGGCTCACTCACTCACTCACTGCTTTCATATTGGGATCGTTTTCTCCGCAGCTGGTTGGATACATTATGTATGTATGTATGTGTGTGTGTGTGTGTGTATGGGTGTGTAGATAGTTGAGTGTGAGCGTGAAGACCACCTGACTGACCTAGATGCATCGTGGAGACGGCCGACGATGGACGGATGGTTCGCTGGATGGATAGATGTTTTGTCATCAACCCCCTCACCGTGTCGACCAACATACATACCATCACGGCTAATTATCAATTCCATGCGCACCCACACAGCCTAAACCGATACCCGCAGTGCGATGACGCAGGCAGGCAGACAGAGGCAGACGTGAAGGTTTGTCTGATGCAGGCAGGGCAATCTCTCACTCTCACCCTCACTCTCACACCCTAATCTTTCTGTGCTGCATGTGCCGTCCGTCCAGTGACAGCCAGCCGGCAGCCAGCCAGCAGGTGGAAATTAAAAGACTCACTCGTAGCAATCAATCAATCACTCACTCACTCACCACGCTCTCACCACCGCACACACCTCCCTCCCCCTCACGTCAGTCTGTGGGATGGCACGTACCACACTCGCTCCAGTGGGAGGGCGGGATCACACTTACACCAACATACGGCCTTTCTGTGCGCCTCTGTCTGTCCGTCTCTGTCTTGATGAGTCCTCCGTCTCCTCGCTCTGTCGGTCCGTCGGTCGTTCAGAGGCGTCAGTCACACTCTGTCGATCTGCACCTGGATGGCCCTGTTGTTCAGCTGACCCCCGTTGTACTCATCTGCACACACAGTACAACACAAGACAGACAAAAGAAGACACGGATGATTGCACACTACAGCCTCCCGGCCGGGCCGCACGGACACCAGCACACACGGCATCTGATCTGGTCTGATCTGGTCTGTGCACACCGGGCCCTCTCTCTCATCTCTCTCCGCACACAGAGACCAGTCTGGTGGGGGCGGGGTGTGTGGTGTGTCGGTATCCTCCGAGAGCGAAACCGTCGACGGCCACGGGGGGGCCCAAATGGACGGAATTAGACACGGAGGAACGGCCTGTCTGCCCGTGGTGTGGTGTGTCGTGTTGTGAGTTTGCTGCACTTACTGACAGCCCGGTGTGCGTCGGCTGCATTTCGGTAGCGCACAATCGCCTTGCCCGTCGGCTGACCCTGATTGATCAACAGGCACACAGAGAGGGAGCATTGTGTGTCTGTGCTGTGTGTGTGTGTGTGTGTTGTGTGTGTGTGTTGTGTGTGGTGGCTGAGCTGACCCAGCTGTCCTTGAGGATGTCCGCGAACTCCACTTCACCTACACACCGACCCAGCCAACCAACCAACCAACATGCCCCCGACCATCACACCCATCCCTCCACCCACACATCCCATCCATCCCACCCAGCCATCCATCCATCCACCAGCGCACAAATCGTCTAGCTATTTATGCACTGATCTAATCAAGCAAGCTATCCTTCGTATCATATTTATCATTCTGTCCCCACGAATGTCAACACTGAGGGCAGCACGCACGGCAGAGCAGCCGTCGTGTCGGCCGGCGCCCCGCCCGTCGTGTCTGTCGTCCCATACATAGTCCTCACCAGCTGTCTTGAAGGCGTCCTTCACATCCTGCCATGACACCACTCCCTGGATCTGGTCGACACAACGCACACACACGCGACACACATGCCATGCACACAAAGGCCCGTTCCGTTCCCCGCTGCCCATGCCCATGGCCCCCCCCTCCCTCCCTCCCCCGTGGCTCGCTCGGCTCGGTCGCTCACCCCCGAGATGAGCACTTGTCTGTCGCCGATGTTGACGTTCTGCGGTCCGGCTGGTGCGGGGTAGATGTGTGGCGCGGGGAACTGGCGCTGCATGCCGCCGGGGGGGCCGCCCATGCCGCCACGGCCGCCTCGGAGGGCAGGGGGGGCGCCGCCGGCCACCATGGGGGCAGTGTGGAACGTCCTGTCCTTGTCGGGGTTGTTCTGATGACACAGGCCGCGACACACACACACATACACCGAGAGAGAGACAGAGGGAGGGGGGCAGATTGGTTAACCGATGACGTTGGCCTCCTTACCTCCCGCACGGCGAGGGTGCTTCCTCTGAATGTGGTGCCGTTCAGTTCACCGATCGCTCGCTTCGCGTCGGAAAAGGTCGCGTAGTCAACGACACTGAACCACACACCCACCATGACACAAGAATACTCCACAACCACCATGATGCCAGCCACTCTTGTATGTGTGTGTGGGTCGTTTACGCGCTGCCGATGAACTGTCCGCCGCTGGAGTAGAGCATGTTGACGTTTGCGACGGTGCCGACGGATGCCATGTGTTTGCGGAGGTCGCCAGCCTTGCACTGCGGCACGTTCGACACGAACACACTCGACGTCAGGAGCCGGTCGGGCACCACGCCATTCTGGAAGCTGTGCGCCTGCGACTGGCTCGCGAAGCCGCCACCTCGACCGCCGCCTCGACCGCCCCGCCCTCCTGAGCCACGCACGACACCTGCACCCACTCAACCAGGCATCACACATACACACACAATGCTGTTTGCCTGTTCGTTCACCGTTTGTGTGCGCACGAACCGTTCTGGTAGGGGGAGAATCTGTCGCTCTGTCTGCCTCCTCCTCCCCTGCTTCTCCTCTGCGGCCCATATCCGCCGCCGGTCATGTCGACGTCCATCGCACTGCCGCCACCACCTCCACCACCACCCCTGCCGCCAGATCCACTGCCCCTCCCACCACCGACCATGCCGCCTCGCGAGCCGCCTCGCCCTCGCCCTCTCCCTCGGCCCTCCTTGGCTATCAGGTCGTCAAGCGACAGCTCCAGCTTCTTCTCCACATCCATCTTGACACTTTCTGCCCTGCAGGGGATGGAACCAGGGATTCAGACCCCAGGAAGGCTCCTCCTCTCCTTCGGCCCGCTTCCTCTGATTGCGAGCTCGTGGTGTCGGGCATCGCGTGAAACCGATGTCCACGAGGAGCCTCCACTGGAGGAGAAGCACTGAGGTGCGAGTAGCGTGCTCGTCTGTGGCTGAAGGCGTGATGACTGACCAGAGGGAGCTGGACAGGAAGCTGGGGATGAGCCTGGACGACCTGGTGGCTGCTGAGACCGGCCGGACGCCTGCCGACATGCAGCACTACGGCCCTATGCGTCGCAAGGGGGTCTACGGCAACCCCGCACGCCACTCGGGAGGACCCCCTCAGCAGGGGGACGGCGGCTACAGCGGCTACGGAGCTGGGGGAGGCGGCGGCGGCGGCGGTGGGCAAGGAGGAGGCCAAGGTCGTCGGTTCGCGCCCTACTATACCACCAACGGTACAGTGACTGACTGCAGCACTAGCAGCAGTAGCGGTGATGCATGGGATGGTGGTGAGGTGTGCTGTGACGTTGTTGACGTGAAAGACAGGGCCACCAGAGAGAGCAGGCAGAGCATCACTAGCACCAGCACTAGCGCATCCGCATCAGCGTCATCAGCCAGCCTCAGTGACGGCACGTGTAGCAGCACGACATCCGAGGCAGGCGAGACGGGCGAGGGGGGCGAGGGG